TATTATTCAATTGCAGGAGCAGCTTTTGGTGGATTAGCCGGTTTGATTTTGGGCGGTCCACTTGGTGCTGTGGCCGGAGCATCTGCTGGAGCTGCTATAAGTGGAGGAACAAGTGGCACAGTATCTGTAGTGAGAGGAATTGTTAGTAAAGGCGATTAAAAAGATGCTTGACGAAGCAAATTGCGTTTCACATAAGAAATATATTTCGAAATGTTTTAATTGTAAAAAATGAAACCACGTATTTAGCAGTGGAATACTGTATAATATCCAAGTTTATTTCTAAATAAAATCAGAAATATCTGTGAAATATGACTTACTTTTATTTATTTGAACACAGTAAAATCGAACAATTTTCCTCTAAAAATTTGTTGCCGACATGTACTTTTTTCTAATGACGATTGATAGTCATCAACTATCAATAGCAGCCACACTGATAATGTATTCGATTAATCAGCAAAACCTCGTTGATCCTCGTGGTATCAATTTGTTGACTTTGAAAAACACTTTATTGGCATAAATGGAAATATCAATTTTATAAATGATTGATTCATGTTTCTTTTAGAATATTTCAAGTTATAATAATATCCTTTTCTACTTTGAGACATAGTCTCAGTCTTAATCAACTAAACGACGTACAGTGCCGTCAGAAAATTTGAGACCAAGCTCATTTTTTTCATACAATTTCATACAAATTGACGATTTTTTGGAGCAATATTTAATATATTTCAGAAAGAGCTAGACTCATAATTTTTTGCACACTTATTGTTCTATTTACGTAGAGTAAACTAGTGAAGTTTTACCAAAAAATATCTACGCGTTTAAAAAATATCCGATTATTGCACTTTCAAGTGTGAAAAATGACACATTTTGTATGAAAAATAATCCTTTTTTCACTTGAAAGTGCAGTAATCGGATATTTTTTAAACGCGTAGATATTTTTTGGTAAAACTTCACTAGTTTACTCTCCGTAAATAGAAAAATAAGTGTGCAAAAAATTATGAGTCTAGCTCTTTCTGAAATATATTAAATATTGAACCAAAAAATCGTCAATTTGTATGAAATTGTATGACATTTTTTTGCTTGCTCTCAAACTTTCTGACGGCACTGTACTCAATTTGATATCATAAATTAAAACATTTTCGTTTCTATGAGTATATTGAAGTAGTGAAAATGTAGAATTATAGAAAGTGATTATTAAGTTGTTCTGAAATATGAAGAAATACAACTCTTCGAATAGAAAATGTTCATCTTTTTCATTCGCCGAAATCCAATTTATCGATAACAATTTGATTAGACGTTTCAAGCCAATTTTGGTCGCTTAAATGCAGTTATCTATTTATACAAATATCTCAATTGAAACGATGGCCACAATTCATGTATTGAAATTATATCTTTAATGTCACTAAAAAGAACCTCGATAGTAAGTATACTTTCACCATTCTCATTGAATTATTTATCGCAGTATTTCCGAACGCTACTATTATAATCCATTTCAATAAGTGCATTTCACATGGTTTTAAAATTATGTTGAACAAAAATAAATGTCATACAATTTAAATAGAACCGATTTGCCAAATGTATGCAGTTAGTTTTTGGATACCATCGAATTTGGTCGGAAAGTTTCCTTCATACAAAAGATAGTTCGAATCTCTTGCATTTAATAAATAGTCAAACTAAAATTCAAGAGTCGGGTTATCAAAGTCAAATTTTCAAATCACTTTTTAAGCAACTTTTGTCTTAAATACATAAAATTCAGAATGAAAAGAATCATGAAAATCTTTCAATTGACGCAAAAAATTTACAAAAAGCTGAGGATGCATCAGTTCCAATCATTCGAAAAATACTCGATAAATCTTCAATTTTGGTCTATATTCAGTGGTGTCGTGCTTACAGTGACATTGACATTATTGGCTTTTATTTTTGAAGCGAACACATTTCAACAACGTTCCGAAAGCTTTTATGGATTTGCATCATCGGTAACATGCACTGTCAATTCGATTGTAATTTTTGTGAAATCATTGAAAATGTTCAAAATGATTGACGACCTTGAAGCAATAATTACAACAAGTATGTATTATGGGTGTTAACTTTGCATGAAAATGGGCATTTAAATCGATCAATTTATAGAAATGAATAATCCTGTATCGAAAAGAATTTATGAAGAGGCAAATGAAACGGCCGAAAAATGGACCAAATTCATTGAGTTTTCATTTATGAATGTCTCATTTTTAAGCTATACCACTCCATTTCCAATCATATCCTACTATTTATACTTCACTACTGATTTGGGAAATGAAGCATTTCGCTTGCCGTATCTTATGTGGTAAGTTGAATAGGTCATACTTTAGCCACAAATGTTCAATTTTTTTTATTCGAAAAAATATTTTTTTACAATTTTTCCTTTAAATAGGTTTCCATTTGACTGGAAAGATCCAATTTTCTATTTACTTGCTTTTACAATGATTTCGTGGCTGCTTTATTGCAATTTAGTGATCTGCGTTAGCATCATAACTTATATGGTGGCGTCATGCTGTATGTTGCTTGCATTCACAGAAGATCTCAAACAAGAAGTGAATACGTTGGATGCCATTTGTGAAGCAAACAAAAATCAATCTGACAAACTTCAAGAGAAACTATCTGAAATTCTCCGGCTTCATGTGAATGTTAAAGAGTTGAGTCCAAAATTGGGTATCCATTGCCCGAAATATCCAAAGTATCCGTCCGATTTTTTTCGGGTCGAGCTAAGTCGGTTTTTGGTCTTTCGAGGGCCTCGATGCGACCTCTGGTCCATATAACAACCATTTTTGATAACAAATTTGTCAATGTGCTCTTTTTTGAATTTATTTTTTAGATTTGTTTACAGCTTTACGGACATTTATGAATTTGTTTTTCTGATCTACTTTTTGTGGAGCAACATAACAATTTGTAGTACTCTTCTAATGGTTCAAATCGAATTGGTTAAGTTTTTTACTATTTATTCGCCCAATTTGGAAATAGTTAAACAAATATTTTTTCTTTTATTGAATTTAGTCTCAAGAACATATAAATTTCTTCATTTTGATGGTTCAAATTGGCATTATGTTTTGGTCATTCTTCTCTATATTCTTACTTTGTAATTTTGGCGAGAATATAACCAGCGAATTAATGGATTTGAATGAAAGTATTACCCAAACAAACTGGTATCTGTTTCCACTTAGCATTCAACGTACGCTGCCCACTATTCTGATCAATGCCCAGCAACCGGTTTTACTTCAAGGTTTTGGAAACATTTTATGCACACGCGACACTTTCAATACGGTAATTGATCAGACATATGGTCGAATAGCTAGTGCATTATTAGTTAGATCATGATTCTGCTATTTGAAAGAACGATGCAAGCGAGTCAAATGATCTCAAAAACTGATAAAATATGCGAAAGCCAAGAGCAATTGAATTGATTTTTTGTTGTTGACAACGCCGACTGCGTCGTTCTTAAAACCTTTAATAATATCGATTTTAACGATTTCAGGTGGTAAACAGAGGATTTTCATTCTTTATGATACTTCGAGAGTTTTGAAAACACATTTTGATAAAGTATGCACCAAATTTGAATTTTATTCACACAATCGTTCGGCATTAAGTCAATTCAGCTATTGATTATATAATTGTTTTATTACTCGAGTGGAATTTTCCTTGTGTTTCATTGCTTAACATTTTATTTTTTTGAAACTTCTTCATTCAACAATCTTCTGTGGTAATTACTTGACACTTTTGTCGAGCCAAAATCCAGCTTTATCGGCTGATCGATTTGCGGCCCAAGTTGTAAAAACAGTTGAAGTCACTGTCAGTGTCAGATTATTTCTCTCACAAATGAATTTTCTTGCTTTGAGAAGTTCCACGCTGATGCTACGGCCGCGATAGTTCAGCAGAACGCAAAACCATCGCTGGCTAAGTATTCATCAACTTTATATTCATCGAATACCTTATAATTCATAACAGATGCTATTTCGGCGTCCAATTTCTCTTTCAGTGGCGAAAGCTAAGTAAAATGAAAGAAACCAGAATAAATGAAGTTCATTTGGAAAATAAGTGTTTTACTTCCAAATTCTGCATCGTGTGTACAATCTCGTCATCACTATCCGAATCACAATCTGAAGAACGGGTCCTTTTATACAATAAATTCAAACCAATAAGTTCACTCGAACCGCTTTTGGAACAACCCAGTGGGAGATTTTCTTCGAGTAATGCCGTCCATTTTGGTTTGTACGAATTACGAGTTCTTGAACATGTATTTCACCGAAAGTTTCAGTGCTTCCTTTTGCTTCCCGGTCGACAATACTTCAATGTGATATTCAACCATTTTTTTACCATCAAGGTCCGTGGCATTAAATGTGCCGCCGCAAAACTCCAAAAAACACCAAAATGATAAAGTTTCGATTTAACATCTTGACTCAATTTGGATTGGAATGTTGATCGAATTTACGTGCCAACTTGGCTTTTTATAGGGAAGAGTTTGTTTGTTCGGTTTATACCTTTACACAATTTTTGTTTGCATAATTAATAAATATCGATTCTTTGAAATAAAACATTTCAATTTAATGACGGAATTTAGTCATATTACGACTTATTAAAGTGATCTTTAACGATTAAACAAGTGTTTAGAGAATAAATATTTAACAAATCGTCAGCAAATTACACACCCCAAAGTTAGTGTATCAAAATGACATTGGAAAAAGAAATATTTCGGTTATTTTCCAGCGTAACTTAAACTGAGTCATTTAGACACACACTTGTTTGTTAACTTGATATCGTGTGTATCTTAAAGAAATAATACTTAGGATTCAGCTCAAAATAAATCATGACCTATATAAAATTTTGACATAAAACGCAATTAATGTGTCCTTTTCGTTCATATTTCCAGATTTACATCAAAGCAAACAATTTTGATTTTGGTGAGCTCAATCACAGTATTACATCCTCAATCACTAAATCATCATCCCAAGTAAGTACTTTCTTCATCTAGATCAATACAATGTGAATTTATAACAGTGAATTTATACCTTGTACTTACCTTGAACACAAGTTCGCAATAAAATTAAAGTGCACGGTGCAACGGTAGGATTTTGTAAGAAACGCAATTTCTCCATTGAAAACCATCGTTATTTGAGCTTCATTGGTGCAAGTAAAGAAAGTTTATGTATATTGTGGTGAAAAAACAAGAAGAAGATCGAAAAAAAGTAATTCTTCTTACAATTTAACTCATGTTTCGGTTCATCTGCACTGAAAAAGATTGTATTTGTTTATTTTCAACGAATACTCATGGTAGAGGGACAACAAGTCTCAAAAAAATCGGACAAATAATTCAACGAAATTGAAACAAATAATTTTTCTTTTGAAAAAGTCTACAGTTTATTTAGAAAATTCAAAAAAAAAAATATTCCACAATTTCTGCGAGATTTGGAGGTTTGAATTTGAATTCTGTTATTTTCTCATCGAATAAAGTTGGCTTCACCAATGAAACAAACTTTCCGAAATCAAAGTGCGTCC